ATGTTTCCTAATCCAGGTGATAATATTTATTTAATATCTTTAAAATCATTACCTATAAATTTTAGTGAATTTTTTAATATGATTTATACATGTCAAAACTTAAAGTATTATTTCTATTTTTATATGTAACTTTGGATGGTGATGAAGATTTAAAGGGTCCCGAAGAAGATCCGAGTCCTGACTCTACTACGTAGACTTTGTCTTTTGCTTATGTTTTATTTTCCATAGTTATTTAAATTCATTTGACATTTGCATTCATTTGGTTAAATTTTTACTTTTAGTTAAATTGGATTTTAATAAACGTATATCAATTTTTATTGTAAATACTATTTAGCATAAAAATTCTAAAAAGACCATAATAGCTCTGAAGCCCTATCCGAGTTGGGCCGAACTTAAATATATGCGGGTTTTGCAGGTTTTGGGCCGGTTCGAACCGGAGTAGCCCGTTTGACATGCCTATCTTTCGTAACAATCAAAATCGTAAAAACTACTAATCAGCTACTATATAGAGCAATGGCTCTCTCCAATATAGCGACACGTCATCACGCTGAAGGACGACACATGGCAATCGTTGACGATTGAGTTCTGTAGGAAATCTATGCTCTTCCTCTTCCTTCTTAGGGTTAATAGCACCATAGATCCATAGTCATCATTTTCGCTTCCCATCTCTTTAACTTCCACGAAGACATCGTAACATCTCATTGCGATTATGGTCTCTGGAATTATATAGCATCATGCGCGCAAACTGTTTTCTATCTCCGGCACTTTGAAGAAGACGACATCACCATGAGAAAGATTCAATTATATGTCCTCGAGGTTTGGTTTAGATCATCTTCGTATTGTTGCGTCTCAATCTGAAACGTTTACTCAGAATTGGTTAATGCTCCTACGCTAAATTCTCTGAACCAAAGACGCAGGGAAGATATGCAAGTCAAAGATTAGTGAAGAGCATCTAGGCACCAACTCTGTCCATCGCATCAACGTTTGCGCCTTCGGCTCATGTAAAAAAACTTCAGTTACTATCCACCTTCGACAAAAAAACTTCTCATGTTCTTTTGCTTCCCTTGGATAATATATTTCACATGTTTGTTTATAAATAACTATAAGTTTACGGTTTAGCTTACTCTGCTTTCATTGGCTCTATGTTTGGGTTTTCCTGATAGTGTTTGAAGTTCTGTTGCTCCACCCAAATCTTCCTTCAAGGTATACATTTGTTTCATCTCAATTGTTTTGTTCATACAATAGAACGCATCCTGACCTGACAAGTTTTGGTTTTGAAGATACAAAAACAGAGAAATCAGAATCAAACTCGAGTGAAAATGACAATTAAATATGAATATCGCTGCAAAACATCCAGATCTTGGAATAGGAACCACAATACTCATCAAATTAGTCACTTTCCTCTTCCATATATCTTTCCAATTAAGGAGTTGATCTAAACTTGGATGAATTAGTGTAATTGAGAGATAACGGTAGTGGATTAACGAGGTTTAATGTTTTTGTTGTTGTTAATTTTAAGCTTTTAAATTTGCTACTGATCTCTCAATTACGCTAAATCATCCAATTCAGTGGATTATGAATCTCCGATCTTCTGGTATCCAATAAAAAACACCTTTTTGCAAGAGAAGTGAAATATTAAGTGTGGATGCAGCAGTTGTGCTTGCTTGTCACGGTAATAGAGTTCATATTTTTACTTTTCATGGCCAAGAAAAAGAGATGATGTTAATATCGTTGAAGAAAATCTAAATTGGGGTTTTAGATTTATGACTCTCAAGTTCATATTGTGGTGTTA